ACATTGTCTCTGAAGACTACAAATTTAAATGCATTTGACCAGTGGGTTGTCAATGAAGAAGTTCAAAACACACTTGAAGTTGTGACAGAAGATGATGATGGTGATTTGGTCTTTGTTGAAATTCTAGATAATTCTACAGGAGCAATTGTGAATAAACAGAGTATCATTTACATGGCTAATTCAAGTTTGCCTATAAAACTTGGGTGAGAGATGCACATTATAGAATTGTTTGTAATTTAATGTTTTAAGTAACACATGGAATTAACAAAAGATGTTTTTGATGTAACTCATATTTTAAAATATCGATCTAAATGTAATTTTTAAACGTAGTTAACAATGGAGAACATTTGATATAATTTTAATAACATTTTGGTTATTATTTCTAGTAGGAGACGATTTATCATTCATATCATATGAGTTAATAGTCCTCTAGTCAGGCAATAATGCCTAAAACTTATTTTATTTATCCCTTAGAAGGGATTTTTACAAAAGTGATGTTTCCTTTTTGTTCTGCCTGCGCAAAGCTTTAATATATCTCATAATATTTCTCATATTTATGAAATTTTGAAATGTAAATTTAATTCATAGCAAAAGTTTCAATTTTACAATATAGCCTGTGTGTCTGTGAATTCTTTTTACAAACATTTTTTGAAAAAAATATGTTGCTTATGACTGAATAATGTTAACGTCATCAAAAGATATGGATTTCTGAAAAGCATAAAGTGATTTTAAATTCTTAATATAGGTGTGTTAAAACTTTACCTATTAATTTTGACACAGATGTTTCAAAAATGTTGTATGAGAGTTGATTAACTGGTGGTCTTTGGTTACAAGTCAAATTTTTAACTTTGTCTCACCTAGAAACACCAGCTATTTGTACTTTCTAAAAAGTTTTGCTAATTTTAAATCATTACACCTGGCTCAGGCATACAATTATTATTCATGTATTATTTTACATGTGTAGTGAGCTCCCACATGTGTACAAATTATTCAGGGCAACTCACAGATGCTGCTCATGCCTTACAAGCTCCATACGTAAAATTCCTTGGCAATTTATTAACATTTGAATTCAACATTTAAAATTACATGAAATAAATATTTTTACATCTATAATATGCATAAATAAATAAAGGTAGCTTAATGTGGGCAGTATCTGTATTGGCGGGCAATTTTATTGGTGTTAAAAATTATACGTGTGTAACACATCTGTGTGTCTCATGAGTTACATAATCTTATTTTAAAAAGTTTGATTCCAAAATGTTCATATAACAAATTTCAAAACTTAATATTGAAATGGGAGATGATGATAAATAAATTAAATATGTTAAAATTGTAATTATATGGTAAGCTTCACTCTTTCAGGCCATATATTTAGTTGAGTTTGAAGGTAGCATATTTTCTCTGCTCATTTGGGAAGGGAGCTGGATAAAAAAAAGCCTGGCATTTCTGTAAAATTAAAGTATGAAATATTTAAACTTTATAGCCAAACCTATAACTTATCGAAAGAAATATCAATACTCAACTTAGTATGTGATATTAATTTTTTTTTAAATATGTGCTCTTTTTTATTTATGTAAATGTTTATGGAAGGTAAAAAACAAAAATATTATTTTAAGCTTCTCTATCTATAGTCTAAGAGCTAAGGACTCCAAAGGTGCTTACAGCCCTATAGTATATGTATACATCGCTGTTTGTACAAGCTGTAATGGACATGGGATGTGTACCAACATCACAAGAGACATTGAATACAATAATGGATATTTCCAGATCTTTGAATGTAGCTGTCAGCCAGCTTATACAGGTATTGTTACCTGGTGTAAACATTACAGATTGTGTAAACATCACAAACAATTTATTCTTAAAAATTTAGGTGCAATCAGTAACTGAATCATCATATTTATTTAATGCAAAATGTTTATGACATTATGTAAAATTCAATATATTATTTTTTTTTCTGTTTCTGGAACAAGGAATGGTTTTGTCACCTAAATTAATTCATATAGATCTGAAAATTTTCCACCATGGCTTCAGGCCAAAGATTACATCCGAAAATATTGTGTGTGTGTGTTTGTTCATTCTATGTTATTATGTTTTCCATTTAGATGCAATAACAATATTAACTTATAAATACTTCTAAAATTGTTTAACAACTTATAGGTGCTGACTGTGAGTCAGAGTTGGATGCTTGTGCAAGTAAACCATGTTCTGTAGATCAGGAATGTACAGATCTGACAGCAGCTCAACAAGGGAATAATCTCATAGGATATGTGTGTGGTACTTGTCCTGATGGATATATTGCATCGAATGCTACAGAAAATTGTATTGGTGAGTAGATTCCTTTCATTGTAAACATTTAATAATTTTAAAAAAATAAATATAGCAAGGTAGTTTCTTTTTATGATTAATCTTGTCTGCAATTTGGTGCAATGGTAACCTTACTTGTAGTGCCTTTTTTATAAAATATGAAAAATAATCTCGGCAATTAAATATTCCTTTTATTTAGCACCTAATCCAGCTAAGAATTTTCTCTCTCCGTTGATGAAGAGATAAATATCAGGATTGCAAAAGCAGCAGCTACTATGGCTAAACTGAATAAGCAGGTGTGGAATAATCTCAATATAACTGATAAAACAAAAATAAGTGTCTCTCAGGTATACGTGCTTAGCACGCTTCTATATGGTAGCAAAGTGTGGACCACATATACCAGTCAGGGGCGGAAACTCAACAGCTTCCATCAAAGATGTCTGCGTCGCATTTTGCGCATTCGTTGGCAGGACAGGGTGCCTAACGTGGAGGTTTTGGAATGTGCACACATGTTTAGCATATTCTCCTTCCTTATCAAGAGACGGCTTCGCTGGTTAGGTCATGTACGGAGAATGGAGGAAGGACGTATCCCAAAGATACTGCTGTATGGAGAGTTAGTAGAGGGGACAAGACATATTGGATGACCGCGCCTGAGATTTATTGATGTTTGCAAACGAAACATGAGGGAAGCCAATATTGAAACAAATGAATGGGAGTTCATTGCCAAACATCGCTCCAACTGGCGAACAGCAGTGTTGAAGGAGTAAAAAAGGCAGAAGATACTTGAAACGAGGCCCCTTAAATCAAAAAGAACAATTCGGAAATCAAGAATTTACTCGGATTCAATATTCTCCTACAAGAGATGCGGCCGTGATTGCCATTCTGGGATTGGCCTAGTGAGCCACTCGTCAAAGTGTAGAACTATATAGCTACTCCATCGTCTCACAAAGACGGAAGGATGCCATATATATATAAGCCAGCTAAATTGACAAATGGTAGCCAACTTGGTGTGGGACTTCAAACTGTCTTTTAATACACAAATAGATGTAGTCTTTCCCATTCAGAATGTAAAACTATAATTTTTTGTAAAAATTTAAAATAAAATAGCTTTTAATAATGTATTATTTTAACTATATAAAATATATTTATAGGCTCCATTCATCCACATCCTAAGGGAAATATCTTGCATTAACAAATGTAATTTAATGTCCCAGATATTGATGAATGTACAAACAATAACAGTGAATGTCAACACAATTGTACCAATACCATTGGGTCCTACCAGTGTAGCTGTAGAGATGGTTATAGACTTGATCTGTCTGACAGGAAAACTTGCAAAGGTAATGTAAAAATATTTACTACTGGATTTGAGTTAAATTTATTAACAATTAATAATTGCTTAAATAATAAAGGTAATCTTTTCTATGTTTTTTTATTGAGTGCTATTTTTTTTAATTACTTTTATCATTTGAATAAAAAGTAATAAATTTTATAGAAAACAAACCATGTTTAGAATGATTTATCTTGCTTCAGACATCAATGAATGTGAAGAACAGACAGACCGATGCCAGCACAAATGTAAGAACACAGAAGGCAGCTACAACTGTTCCTGTTTGGAAGGCTATATACTCAAATCTAATGGCTACAATTGTGAACTACCAAGTAATGACTGTTTTCAAAACAAATTTGTATAATTGCATAATACAAAAGTTATAAATATAATTGTTAATTTTAAAACTATTTTTAGAAAAATAAATAAGTTATAACATTTTTTATTTAATACTTTATAATTTATTTTCACATATAAAGTAGTTAATGACAGAACTGAGGATTATATTAATTTTTGACAATAAAAGAGTTTAAAAGTGAGATGGTTTTTTATTAATATATAAAAACAAGCTTTCATTAAGTTATAGCTTTTTTTAATGTAAATTATATTTTCTTGTCACATGTTTTGATAAATTAATATCAAATTTTTTAGGTCATTATAAAATTATAGGTAATTTTTCAGAGAGTTCATGACATTTAAGAAATATAAACAATATTTGATTATTTTTTAAAGATTTTCAATCATATTAGAAAGAAAATTCATTTATTGCTTTTAAGATATTTTTTGTTTTAGCTTCTGGATTACAGAAATGTTCCCAGTGTCAACACACTTGTATATTTAATAATATAAATAACTCTGCAAGCTGCACATGTGATAAGGGATATCTGCCAGATGCACAAAATGATGTTGAATGTAAAGGTATGCATATAATCGGTCCCTTTTTAATTTAATAAAACATTATAAATGAGCTAGATTTTTTTTTGAAAGGTGAGCAACTAAATTTCTCTTTGAAAGTAGGCCCTATAAATGAATGACTTGTTTAAATATAGATTTTTTGGCTTACCAAACTGATACACCAGCTAGAACCTAATTTACATAATAGACTCAAATATGATTCTATACACATACAAAAATTAGATACAGAGGCTCATTAATCCATAATAAATAAATTGATTGTGGTTTAAAAAAATACAAATTATAATTTATGTTAAATAAATACTTTCATTTGTTTTAACTAACTATTAAATTCTCAAAAAGTTATGTTAACTCATTTCTAATAAGCTAAAATTTAAAAAAAATACATATTTTTTTCTGCAATTCCCTATTTGATGTTAGAAATAGTTATTATAAATTACTTATCTTCACAGATATTGATGAGTGTAAACTTGACAACATGCCATGTAGCCAGGGATGTAACAATATTGAAGGATACTTTAATTGTTACTGTTACCCTGGTTACATGATGGAGTCTGACAGAGTGTCTTGTAAAGGTTTGTGTTGCTTAACATTTATAACACCTTAATTGTTTTAACAATTAAACTCCTTAGTAAAATGTGCAAAGTTAGGCCTTCTGGTATTATTGGGGAGAAAAATGTAACTTTTCTGAAATCAGATATTTTTTTGAGTTATTTTACTGATTCACTAAAAATTTACTAATCACAAGCCTAGTTATTAGGGTTTTAATAGTTTTTTTGTTAGGTTAAGAAGTTAAGATTATATTTTATATAATTTTGCATTTCAGCTTGTGAAGTTCCCTATTATGGAGATAACTGCAAACAAACCTGTGACTGTAATGGCAGAGGATCATGTAACACAGTGAAAGGATGTGTTTGTGATGTGAACTGGACAGGGGTCAACTGTGACATAGATGTTGATGAATGTTCCTTACCAGATGCCTGTCCTGAAGGGCATCTTTGTGCGAACACAAATGGATCATTAACTTGTTTATGTCCAATAGGCTATATCATGGAAGAAGATGTATGCAAAGGTGTGTAGCTTTGGTAGCAATTTATTTTATAAGTAAATTTTAAGAATATTTATTTTCAATGTGAAAATTAAAAAGAATTAGACTAGGTAATTTAATAGTTTTTCAATTTTGTGCAAAAAAGCAAGAATGTATAATTATTATTTTCTATATTTTATTCAACCCAATAATTTCTTTACCTAACTGGTTTTTTTTAGTTCAAACTACAAAATTTTCAATATATTTACTTAATGTGAATGATTTATTGATATATATAAATGATACAATCAAAGTATCCATAATAAACAAAAAATGTGTAAGAAGCAACAAAATGTTAACAAAGAACATAACAGCAGGCTTTTATTAGTCATATTATTTTAAAAAATTTCATTATTAAATATTCTCTAATTTGAAACTGCATGTTTGCATAATATCTAAATCTCTCTGTAGATGTTGATGAGTGTTTTAGCCTTCTAACTAATGGGACATGTAACTTACAAACAGAAGTTTGTTTCAACACTGTTGGTAGTTACAGGTGTGAGTGTAAACATGGCTATGCAAGAGATAAGGAATTTATGTGTCAAGGTTAGTGCTTAAATGAAATTTAACTAAATTAATTTAAAATCAAATTCCTGTCAGAAGAGGGGCATAAGTTTTCTAAATTTTAAATATATTATTTGACAGTGCAAATTAAGTGAAGCTTTGGTATTTAAAAAATGGAAAACTTAACTTCAGCAAGAGATTATTACAGTAAAATTTACTTCTACAGGATAATATATAAGGGACAGTGTTCAATCCGTGAGAAGGAAATAATGAAACAAGATAAGTTTAGGTTTCAAATAAAAAAGACAGGTCTATTAAATGGATGTTTTGGCTAGATGCCCTTTTCAGCAGACAATTTCAAAAAAAGGAAAAATATAAAATTAGAAAACAAAAAAAACTTATCTGATAGAGGTAGCTCTTATTTTTTAACTCAATTATAAAGATCTTCACACTTAACACATTAAAATCTTTGTGATGAAATAAATAATAATAATAAACATTAGGGTAAGGATGATTTAAATATTTTTTATATGAAGACATAAACTTAATTTATTTGCTTTATATTTAAGCATTAAAGAGCTTTTCTAAAGATATGGTGGTCATTTAACTTTAATCTTTATTTCTCAACATCTAATTCATTATTGATACATTTTTCTAAAAAAAATCACTAAGCATTATGACATTAAAAATTTTAGTTCAATTTTAAGACAATCATCAATTGTGTTGGGGATTGAAAAACAATTTTGTTTAGCCTCTTAACTCATTTTCCATAACTACAGATATTGATGAATGCACCCAACAAATTGACAATTGTCAACATTTATGTCATAATGTTGATTGGGGCTACAACTGTGAATGTGAGGCTGGCTACCTCCTGGCTGAAAACAGACAAAATTGTATTAATGGTACGTCTAAAAATTTTATGATACATATTTTATCATTCTTATGAAATGCTTAGTAAACATATTAATTTATAAGTAGTCGTTTTTTTCAGGAACAATTTAGGTCTGATCATTTACAATTAATTATAGTGGCAGTTTTTTGAAAGTGGTTACTTTACCACATTGAAAATGTCTAGGTTATATAACTCTGAAAAAATCTGTTATGATCTATATATATATATATATATCAAATATAATTTTTTCAGAAAGCAATTATAATATTTATTTTTGCTACACACCTGCAATAATATGACATAATGTTTTTACAGTGCAAGACCTTTGTAAGGCATTCAACATGAATTGTACAAATGGATGTACTTTGGATGATGAGGATAAACCATTCTGTATTTGTCCACGTGGATATAACAGCTCAGTTGAAAATGGAAATGTAACCTGTGTGGGTAAGTACATTTTACCACTTTATTCAAAATTATATAATATACACTCAATAACAGCAAATGTAGGGTTTGATGGTGCTATAGTTTTAAAGAAGCCAAAGGAATAAAATTTGAAATTTTTATACAGTTAAATTTGAAAGAAGTTATTGTAGTAATATAAAAAAAAATGAAAGAAAAACCTTTTGGAAAATATTTTAAAAAATCCTTTTTTTTTTTTTTTTTACAAGTTAGTGATAGCGATTGTCAAAAAATGGTGTCTTTTATTACAAGATTTCAATATGACCTTTGTTGAAGCTTTTTTTATATTAAAGGGTAAACCAATATAAAAATAATATTAACATTTTTAAAATGTAGCTTTCTCAATAAATAAATATTAAAGCAAGAATTTTTCAGAAAAATTGAATGAGAATTTTTTCAGCATTACCAATTTCTGGAGCAGGCCTATTTGTGGCAGATAGTCAACTAGGAGAAGGTCCCCTCCATATGGCGGCAGAAACAATTTCAGACACTAGAACTCTGTTGCTTTCTCCTAGCCCTACAAGGCTGATTGAAGTAAACAAGTTCCTATTAAAAACACATCATGAGATGTTTTGAATAATCAGTATTCTTTAATTATTTACATACTGTGTTAAACACACTCCATACCATAATGACAGACCAGTAACAATGGCGCTCACAGTAGAAGAAAGGAAACTCCTGTTCACCATACGAAGATGTACTCAGCTCAACAATCTAATAACTCACTCCTTTAAAAAAAGCCTCCTTGTTGCTCGCACTACTTTTTACCATGTGTTTTTTTCAACACACCGCCACAGTCATAAGTTATGGTGCTCACAAAATTAGACACAGTATGACATCACTTGATCTGACCTTGACACCATGCTTTATGTAAAATCATAATGATCATATTTTTGTTTCCTATTTTAACAGATATTAATGAGTGCGCCTCAGCTGAGAAAAACAGCTGTTCATACAAACCTGGATGTAATAACACAGATGGTGGCTACACTTGTTCTTGTCCTGCTGGTTCCAAGCTGGATAACAATGGTCGAAATTGTCTGGGTTAGTATTATTTATACTTGAATTCTCTGTTCTTTCTTAAACACAATTTATATTTCTCCCTAAAAAGTTTTTTCTTGTAAAAATAAACATTAACAATAAAAGACAAAGTATAGACATTTTGAAATTTTAATGATAATCATAAACAATTATAACTCTGATAGGTTTTATTTTTCAAGTTATAATAGGCAATATTTGTGTTTTTTTCTCTAAGCATGTTCTGGAGACACATGGAGTGTTGGATGTTCCCATAGCTGTACCTGTGGAATTGGAGCTGAGAGATGTGATCCTGTCAAGGGTTGTGTATGTAAGTCTGGATATACAGGTCAGTTTGAAAAGATTCTAATAATTTTATTTAGTTTCTTGTTACTAGTTTATAATTTGTATTTGAATGATCTAGCCAATTTAAACATTTTTATCTGGAAACTCAAAAACTACATTTAACATTCTTAACATCAATCAGGAGATAACTGCAACATTGACATCAATGAATGCACTAGTGGAGCTTTGACCTGTAAGGAGAGGGAAGTTTGTATCAACTTACATGGGAGTGCCAAATGTGAATGTCAGTCTGGCTATGAGTATGATGGTTTTGGTCACTGTCTTGGTACGTTTTTAAAATTTGTTTCCCTTACTTATTAGAAATAGTAGTTACATTATAATTACTTTAACTGTTTCATCACATACATATTTTAATTCTTAACTTGGCTATTTCTCAGATATCAATGAGTGCTCTAAAAACAATGATTGTTATCAAACATGCACAAACACAGAAGGTTCCTATAGTTGTTCCTGCTATACTGGTTTTACTTTCAACACCACTAGCAATACTTGTTTAGGTAATGTTTTTTTTTTATTTTAAAATGTATTGAACTAATATTATTTCAAAAAAATTATTTCAATTTTTTTCCTCAATTTTTATATAACTCTTTAATTTTTTTGTCAATTTAGTGACAAACGTCTTTTCAATTACATGGTTTTGTCTTCTTATAAAATAATTTAATAAAATATATGGTTCACTTATTAAGCTAATTGCTATATTGTTATATATATATATAGACAGGGTGGGCCAATAAAAGTGAGAACATCTTGTAAAATATTACGCTACAAGATGTTCTCACTTTTATTGGCCCACCCTGTATATATGAAAAGTTAAAATAGTTTGTAGGCCTATTTGTTCCTTGCAAGAAGTGAACCTATGGATGGTTACACTTTTCCCTAATATGCAAATTCTCTTTATTATTCATGGCATGTAATAATAATAATAAAATATTAAAAGTTAGCATAGGTGGTTGCAATCTTGTTTTAGTGATTGAAGGACAAACTATGCAATAATTATTATAAATGCAGAAAATTTATACAAAATAAATTTACATAAAATATATTTAAATAGAACTACTCATCTTATTAATGTGTTTTCATATAGGCCTACATTTAAACTGAATTTGTACATATTTTGAAATTTTAAAATACTTAAAATTCTCAAATTTGACTTAAACAATATATTATTTTCATTTTCAAACTATTTCTTTTTTTCCTTTTTTAAATAGTCAAAATACACAGATTTTGTAATTTATTGTTAATAGTCTAACTTTGTTGTAATATTATTTCTTGAGAATAAACTTAAATAACAAAACACTAAATTAGGTTTCATAAAAGAAGCTCTGTGTTAATATTGAGGCAACTCATAATTCTTGATATTCATAAAGATTAAATAGTGGTGTAAGACAAAACATATATATTCATACCTTAAAAGTCACCCCCTTATTTAAGACATTATTCTTTTTATATTTATTCTTAACAGACATGGATGAATGCCAATTAGGGAAGCATCAGTGTGACCAAATCTGCACTAACACTGATGGGAGCTATCGTTGTTCATGTACAGATGAACTTGTCCTACAACTTGATGGTGTTTCATGTGGAGGTTAGTTTTATTCTGTTTTGCAATATGGGCTACTTTTGGGTGCAAGTTCAAGTTTCACTAATTGAGCTCATTTGAACTTGGAGTTTGCCTTGATTATTCAGCTTTTGAGTTACTAACCATTGTTCATTAAATGATAATATTACAGGCAGCTTAACGTGTTAAGATTTGTGTAGTACAGATGTGTACTAAAGAAAAATCCACATTATTTTAATAGCTTTTGATTCCTTTATTTAATTCCATCACACACTATTGTTTCGCATGTGAAAAAAAAAATAAACACTATTTGGGATTGTCTATGGGAAACAAAATGATTTATTGCATTACAACACGAAATTTTTTACTTCTTTTTAAAATTTTATTTCAGTAAAAAAGATAACATAATTTAATATTATTACTATATAAATTATGATATCAATTTTTCTGATAGCTCTTAGAAAAGGCTTACTTCATGGTTTGTATCACTCTTACTAGCATTAGCATTTCCACTGCTTGGTTTTTCTTTGTTTCATTAGGTAGTTTTATTTACTTTAATCATCATCTCTTATACTACATTTTAGATCTCATATCTAAATTTTGTATTTATGAAATTAAAAATGTATATTCTGTTTAAAATAGCAATAAAATTAGTCAACTCTGGGCATATGACATATATAAATATATATTTAGGGAGTAATTATTCTATTTATTTT